AAAATGATTGATAAATGTTCGTGAGTATTCATGAGTATGGTGTCCAGTCCTCATCCATCTAAAGCATCCAGAATCCAATCATGATACTTTTACATAATGACAGAAATTGTGTGAAATCTGTGAGTTGTTTATGAAAGATCCTAGGTAACGTTGATAAAGGGAGAAAGTGAAAAATCTTCAGTTTGGACAACACACTCCAGTAAAATACCTAGAGTGGTAATTAGACTAACTTTCAGTCACTGAAGTTCAATGACAGCTGGCTAGAACTTCACAGAACAATAGAAGAGATAGTAGGAACTGCTGATGCTGGAGAATCTGAGATAAGAAGGTGTAGAGTTGGATGAACACAGCAGGCCAAGCAGCATCAGAGGTGCAGGAAGGCTGGTGTTTTGGGTCTAGACCCTTCCTCAGAAATGGGGGAGGGGAAGGAGGCTCTGAAATAAATAGAGAGAGGGGGAGGTGATGATGGAAAGTGGATAGTGGAGCAGATAAATGGAGAGAAGACAGACAGGTCAAGGAGGCGGGGATGAAGCTAGTAAAGGTGAGTGTAGTTAGGGAGTTGGGATGGGAGTTGGTCAGTGGGGACGGAGGGGCGGGTAGGTGGGAGGGAAGACGGACAGGTCAAGAAGGCGGGGATGAGGCTAGGAGGTAGGAAGTGGGGGTGGGCGTTGGTCAGTGAGGTGGGAGGAGCAGATAGGTGGGAAAAAAGATGGACAGGTCAAGGAGGCGGGGACGAGATGGGCTGGTCTTGGGATGAGGTCAGGGGAGGGGAGATTTTGAAGCTTGTGAAGTCCACATTGAGACCATTGGGCTGCAGGGTTCCCAGACGGAATATGATGTGCTGTTCCTCCAGCCTTTGTGTGGCATCGTTGTGGCACTGGAGGAGGCCCTGGATGGACATGTCGTCCAAGGAGTGGGAGGGGGAGTTGAAATGGTTCGCGACTGGGAGGTTCAGTCGTTTGTCACAAACCGAGCGTAAGCGTTCCACAAAGCAGTCTCCAAGCCTCCGCTTGATTTCCCCGATGTAGAGGAGGCCACATCGGGAACAGCGGATACAATATACCACATTAGCAGATGTGCCAGTGAACATCTGCTTGATGTGGAAGGTTTACTCAGGGCCTGAGATGGAGGTGAGGGGGGAGGTGTAGGGGCAAGTGTAGCACTTCCTGCAGTTGCAGGGAAAAGTGCCGGGGGTGGTGGAGCTAGTGAGGAGTGTGGAGCGGACGAGGCAGTCACGGACACAGCGGTCCCTCCGGAAGGCAGATAAGGGTGGGGAGGGAAAAGTGTCCTTGGTAGTGGGGTCAGATTGCAGTTGGCAGAAGTGCTGGAGGATGATGTGTTGAATCCGGAGGTTTATGGAGTGATACGTGAATACGAGGGGGAGTCTGTTTTGGTTGTTATTGCAGGGAGTGGGTGTGAGGGCTGAAGTGCAGGAAATGTGAGAGATGCAGTCGAGGGCTTTTTCGACCACTGTGGAGGGGAAATTGCGTTCCTTGAAAAACGAGGACATCTGGATGTCTGGGAGTGGAATGCCTCATCTTGGGAGCAGATGCAGTGGAAGCGAAGGAATTGGGAATAGGGGATGGCATTCTTGCAGGAAGGTGGGTGAGAGAAGGTGTATCCTAGATAGCTGTGGGAGTCGGTGGCCTTGAAATAGATATCAGTTTCCAGGTGGTTACCGGAGATGGAGACAGAGAGTTCCAGGAAGGAGAGAGAGGTATTAGAGATGGTCCAGGTGAACTTAAGGTTGTGGTGAAAGTGGATGAACTGTTCGAGATCCTCGTGGGAGCACGAGGCAGCACCGATACAGTCATCGATATAACGGAGGAAGAGGTGGGGGATGGGGCCAGTGTAGCTGTGGAAGAGGGACTGTTCCACGTATCCTCCAAAGAGGCAGGCATAGCTTGGGCCCATGCGGGCACCATGGCCACCCCCTTTGTCTGTAGGAAATGGGAGGAGTTGAAGGAGAAGTTGTTTCATTAGCAAAGTCAATGCAGTTTACCAGTCAAGTTGAACCTCACCAATGAAACAGCCTTATATCCAAAAGGAAAGGAAATCTTCCTGGGGCCAGACCATTGATTCAACCCAGTCCAGTCATCAATCAGAGGGCTAGAAATGCACCAATAAGACAACAGACGCACTGGGAAGGGGGTGCCATTGTTTCACATCCACATTATGGCACATCCACATCGTCACCAGGCCTGTCCAGCCATTCACGTTGAGTTCTGGACTTGCAGTGAGAGGGGTTGTTTTATGGTGGTTTACTATAAAAGCAAGATAAAACATCCATCTACAGGATAAACATAAAACCAGACTGCTCCAACCTATAACCATCTAAGTTATCTGAAGAACAAGATGTATTCTGCTTAAACCTGGTATGTAAAGGTCATTATTAATGGCAAGAAAACACATTTGAAATTGGATGCATAAGAAGTTGTATTCTTTCTTTCAGGTAGCTAATCATGGTTGAAGCCTGGAATTCGCCAAAAATTTTCCATTCAAATTCAGAATGCAGGAGATATTACAATAACAGTGCAAGAGCAAATGGATCCTACATGTTACTGTAACAGGAGAGCTATCACTGATATTCTTTATGTCATTCTTTACTAGTATTGTTCTTTATCAAACAGAGAAGCTTGCCACTTTTGAATCTTCTTTACTCACAGTTTGCAGAAGAAATTAAAGTTGACACATTGTATGGTGAATCAATCTTCATTGAAGAAACTCCATCCCTTGAACCAAAGGTGGATGTAGCAGGTCCTTCATTTTCCTTTGAGGAAAAACCAGAAGAAATAGGAAAACAATGCATCAACGCTGAGGGTGATCGCTTGCAAAATTATATTCTAGATCCTAATGAAAAAGAATGAGAGAATAATAATGTTTTATCAGAGGAAATGGTCCTGAATCTTGCTTTGCTCTTTTAAAACAGTGTAAATGATGACCTTGATCGCAGATCTATTACCACTTTTGAAGAGAACCAGCATTTCACTGAAGAAGGTAATAAAGAGGCAAATTTGACTGTACATTCCAGCAATGACACTAATGCCATGTGACATCAATAATTACAAACTCTGTTAGATAATGAAATGCCAAAACTAGATCTTCTTCCTATAATGAATGTAGCTCTTATTAGAGAAAGAAACTGACGGTGGTGTTGAACATGTAGGAGATTGATTTTTGTGGTCTGGAATCTTCTGTGTCACAACTGATGTGTTTGTTGCTTCTTGGATTGTGACAATATGTAGATCCGTGCATGGTGGTGGACTGATGATAGAACATCCATGTGTATATATCGAATAAAAGGTTTCAAATGTCCAACCTGAGAATCTGGATTAGCATTTAAAATGGATAATGCCGATATGTGGGATGTGAGACCATTTGTAAGCAGTTGGCTTATTTTGTGAACCATACCATGCTGTTCGAGTTTCCCTACTACATCTGATCTAAGATATGTAAAGGATTGATATTTGCATTTGCAAGAATGTCAACCTTGGCATATTGTGCATGTTATTCATTCCTCTAAGAGTATATGAGCCAGACAGAGGTAAAGGCTTTAGCTTTTCTGACAGCATCTATGTGGTGTGTTAAGTTTACCACATGTACTGTGTGACTGGTGACTGAAAGCTGTCATATTACTGTTCTCACTTGGACTTTGTTGACATGCTTGCATACCATGGCTGGAACCTAAGAAGCTTCCTTGGCACCATTCTTCAGTTGGCTCTTCTTCACAAACCAATGTGGATTATTGCGTTGTGCTTTTGGTTTCTTGGGTGATTGAATTCCTTTCAAATTTTAACCCAATTTCCTCTTGTAGAATAAAGCTGAGTTCTGAAAAAGTTTCACATTGGACTCAAAACATTAACTCGGTTTCTCCTCCAAGAGGTGCCGACAGAGCTACCGAGTTTCTCCAGCACCTGCTGTTTTTATTTCAGTCCCCTTGTTGAACATAGCTTGCACATATCACAAAATGCCGTGCCCTGCCTTGGTGAGTGAGACAAACCCATAATACATGGAAGAGTTCAATATTCCCCAGAAATTTTGAAAATTGTTCCAGAATCAAATACGTGTAGATGCTTCAATAAAAACAAAATACTGTGGACGCTGGAAATCTGAAACAAACACAGGGAATGCAGGAGAAACTCAGCAGGACTGGCAGCATTTGTGTAGATAGAAAAGCAGAGTTAATGTCTCAATACAGTATAATTGTTCTTTCGCCAGTATTTCCAGTATTGGTATATGCTTCTTGCCTACTGCTATTGCTTTGAACTTACCTCCTTCATCTAGTATGGTGTCAATGATATATTCCTTGAGGTTTACTAGAGGTACTTTTCTCAAGGATTTGTTGGGTATAAAGTCAATGAGCAGGTCTATAAACCTTTCAACTAAGTTAGTTTCAGTAAAATCACATTCCATACATCTGAGGCCACACCTGCTAATGAATTGGTCAGTCATTCCACCTGGCTGTTGTCAATATGACATGTGCTTTAGCCTATGAATCCTGAAGTCATCTCAAAATTTACATTGTTCTTCTAAAGTCTGAAAACTTTTGTGAGAATCTTTGCAGTCATTATCAGAAACATCAAAGAAATTTATTCTTTAAACCTCAATGGCCAAAGTAAAAAGACACTTAAAGGCCTGTTTTTTTTGTTAGTTTTCTTCTGACCTATAAAGTAAACATTGATTCTTTAAACGACTGAAGTTCTGACAGAATGTCAAAGGTCTGCCAGTCCATGGTAAGACATTTGCTTTCCATCTTTATCTTTGTAGGTTTCTGCTCTCTGAAAATGTCAGTGTGGGAATCTACAGTATAGTTCAGTGCTTTGTCTATTATTAAAATATTTTTATGTTTGCTTTATAAATGCTTCCCCTCTTTTTTGTTGTTGTTGTAGTTTTAAAAGGAACATTTGGCTTATGCCTTGTGTTTCTTGCTGTAGTTGTAGAAGTTTTCAGGCTTGTAGGTACATGACTGTTCCTGTAGGTGGCATTTATGCCTGAAAAGAGTGATTTATGATGTCACATGCACCTTTTCTGAGAGGTAAGATGGTGGAACCAATGGATGTCTGTGAAGAGGTAAACATTGTTTATGTAGAAAATTGTTTATTTTCAGTGTTGTTTTTTCTTTTGTTTTGTTTCAGGAACATTTATTTTTAGCTAGGAGCTGTCCTTTCAGTTCTTTTAAAGCTTTTATCAAAAATGAGATCAGTATCCTCATGTTTTATTTTAAAGAGAGAGAGGAAGAGTATTCACTATGTTTCAGTACCAGCTTATAGCCTTTAGTTTTGACTGCAGTTGTAACTTCAGCTCTGAACTCAGACAGACTGGTGGGTGTCTGTCATGAAAAAGATGTTTTACAATTGTTATGATGCCATCACCCTTTCCAACCTTTACCATCCAGTTATTGCCACTATTAGGCCAACATGACAAACTCATTTGCTGTCTCCATGATAATGTGTTAGCCCATGAAATGTATACCACAAAGAGTTAAGTTCTTGTGAAACAGATGCCATGATGTTTATTTATAACACTAACTATTTACATGGCTAAAGTATCGAAGACTTGCACACATAGTGCAGGATCTGCGTTCACTGTTTGTTATTGTGTACTCCAGACATATAAATACTGACACTGATACAGAGAGAGAGTGAATAAAGGCGAGGCAAGTATTGGAATGTCACATTTTGTAATGTCATGTAATTTTCAAATTTACAGGCCAGTCAGAGCTGGAATCCATGCTACAACACCCACAACCCCAACCCAACAACCCCGCCCCACAACATTCCTTACCTTTAGTCTGGGACCACAGCAATTTTAAAACTCCAACTCTGCTCCAGCCTGCGAGGATCCTGACATGAAGAATTTCACATCACAGTAACATTCACAGCCATTGGCAATGCCATCCTTGCCCTGCACTGACATTGTGGACCTGCCTGTGAAAGATGGCAGAATTTAGTGATTATCTGCTTCATAGAATGGAGACATCTCAAACAGTGTTGCTGGCTGATTTTGAGATAAAAAAAATGCTCCCTGAAGACACTGGGTGAATAATGTTCCCTGATGAGACCCTTTCTCTGCATTCCTCCCCTTCTTCTCTTGGTGAACATCTCCTGAGCTGCTCTGCTCATTCTCCCTGTCATGCTGCAAGCCAAAGAAAATGGTAACTGCAGTCTCATGGTTAGGAGTGTAGGGTTTAAGCAGAATTCTTGAAATCAGAAACAAAGCCTTTACCAGATGCCACACTACTCCTTGTTGTCCCACCAACTTCAAATGGCAGTGGAAAACTCCTAGGCCTTTGTCAAATGTATATTCTAGCTTGCAGGAATTAATCAGTGACTAACCAGAAAATTGTTGATGGTTCCTTTAAATAGCAGTTGTGAAGTTGGGGGTGGGGGAGACAGGGTATGCACAGATGTGTCCTGCTGAATCATGTTTTACTGTGTTATTTTAACAGAGTTAGCTTTACTGCAATAGTCAGAGATAGCAGTGCTGTCTCGCCATCTGCAATCGCTATGCATTTTTTTGTTAATGCTCCTAATGCCATTGTTAATGCTGTCGTAAAAGAGACATATGATTTGGGCCACATCAGAAGTGCATTCATGCAGCAGGGACACGAGGTGCCATCCACAAGCCGTCATGTACCGAATGGGCTTAGAGCAATCTGAGCTCAGGCAGTTTGCTGGTGTCTGAGAATAAGCCTAAAACTAAGTTCTGAATCATTTTACACAGTCACATTGAACCTTGAAGGTTGATAGATTTTAAGATAACTATCAGTGAGTTGAGGGATATATTCTCTCTGTGTCAATAATCATATAGTGGACAACTACATTGTCATAGCTTTTCAACTTCCTTGGAGAATGGAATCTTGTTGAAGCATCGTGAATCTCGTCTGCTGGCCAGAGGCAAGATGAAGAGTTAGCTGCACAGCCAGCAAGGTACCTTAATTGTCATTTCCAAGGTATGCCCATCAAATCACATACCAAACAGACAGCGGTAAGGCGTTCTCCTGGAATCAAGACCCTAGGGGTAGAAGTTGAGCCTAGCGAGAGCTGCTGACCAATCAGAAGCCATTTGCTGTTGTGCTCAGCAGCACCACTTGAGAAGGTTGGAGCTGCCAGAGTAACTGCAATTATTAGCCTGCCTAATGGCAACAATGAAACCACTGCTGATTGTCCACTGATCTGGTTCACTAATCTTGTTTAGGAAAGTAAACCCATTGTCCTTAGTTGGTTTGCCTTACATGCGACTGTAGATCTATAACAATGTACTTGATTCTTGACTGCACTCTAAAATTACCCACCGATCCACTCATTTCCACTGTAATCAGGGTTCTGTATACCTTTAACTTCACACTCTTAGCGCAGCTAGAAGCGTCATTCCCACAACTCTGGAAGAACACTGCAGTACTTGTCAGCATACGCGCGGTAATTTGTCACAGTCTACAGTAACTTGTACAACTTCACCATCACAAGAGAACTGATGTACTAGTATAGGGTATGCATAATGGAATGCTTGGCACAGTGACTGTAAATGCTGGCCTAGCCCACACTACCTACATCTCATGAATGAATTTTTTAAAAGCTTGCACAACATCACACATCCTGTATCATCAAATATACCGTGAACAGCTAAATTAGAGATGTGAGGAGGAAGAGGAACGGTGGATGCAACCAACACATCGACTTTCCATTCAGGCTGTTAGGCTCAGAAGCAGCTCATTTGAAAACAAGGCAACTGACAGGGTGGCACAGGTCAGAAGATGAATGTTGTTGTCCTGATAGACGATAGTGAGTTTGGCTCCACACATCAATCCATGCAGATTGTTGGACTGGTATGAAACACTGCTAATCCCATTGAATAGTGATATCTGTGGTTATGATGGTAGCAATCGCAACATACATTGCACAAAACTGCTTTTGTATGACGTCAGTCAGATCTCCCACTGCAAGATTCAGCTATTGGATGCTTTTGCTTTTGATGTAATGGAAGCTGAAACGTCAGCCGTCAGAAATTGCCACAGGTTGAGACATGCAAGTGTTCTCAAGGAGTTTGCCAGTACTTCCACGCAGGAGAGAATGAACTCCATACAGTCCTGTACCTAGATTGTCCAGATTCTTCCATACTGCTGGTCAGTGACAGTTAGCTTTTCGCAAGTCAGTCACTGTGCCAAGCATTCCATTATGCACACCCTATACTAGTACATCAGTTCTCTTGTGATGGTGAAGTTGTACAAGTTACTGTAGACTGTGACAAATTACCGCGCGTATGCTGACAAGTACTGCAGTGTTCTTCCAGAGTTGTGGGAATGACGCTTCTAGCTGCGCTAAGAGTGTGAAGTTAAAGGTATTCAGGACCAGATTGCTCATGATGACTATTTGCCCCCAACTGCCTTTGCAATGTTTCCATAGGGTGCCTCCTAGTTCCATATGAAAGGACGAACCCTCTCCTATCAATCTACTGCCCTAGGGCCTCAAGTGTTTGATCTAAGAACTTTGAAGCATGCGCTCTTCAAGCAGAATGTCTATGTCGCTACATCCAGTATCTCCAGCCAGAATGCACCTCTCCATTATGAGTTGTTGGTTGACTTTAAGCAATTCAGGCTAGTTTTAAGTGGTATGAACCTTGGACAGAATTGTGCCTCAGGCTGCATTGTAGAGCCTCTCAACAGCACTGGGCAGTAGACCACAAACATTTTAATTCACAGGTAGCATAAAGTTTGATCTCTTTCTTTATTTTTCTTTTACATAATTAACTGTAAACTCTTAAGGGAATATATGAACCTGACCTACAAGTCAGGAAGCTGATAAGGATGGATGGTTTGAGAGCCACCTAATTTTGTTCACCATTGAAGATAACTGCAGGTCTCCCACCTTGTGAATGAGATAAGTTACGATTACCATCTTCATATCAAACACTGCAGCCTCTATCCAACAATTTTATTTCCTATAAACACAAAGAAGTTAATCTGGGCTTCACATCACGCTGCAGTTTCAATCTGTAATCTCAATGAAATCAAAGTCTGAATACATTGATGTTTGGAATATCAAGTGCATGGACTAAAATATAGCAATTCACAATTACATGTTGTAAGCCATGGTCTCCACATAAGTTTGATATATAATGGTTATTTCGAGTGAGTATTAAAATTCATAGTAATTTAGGTGAAGAATCAATGCACATATTCCTGCCTCCGCTTCACATTCTATGTGCAGCTATATTCCAAAAACCAGTATAGGTTCAAGGGGCCAAATGGCCAACTTCTATGATACTATGTATAAAGGACCCTTTGTCCCAAAGAAGCATGACATTTGTCTCCAGAGTGAGATTGACCTCATGAATTTATAATAGTCAACCTCATGGAAAACACATAACAGTGTCTTTTAGAAGTCAGTTTAATCCAGTTAATGATTCTTTTCTTATTTGAACATGTAATTTTATTCCTTAACCCACAGAGATTGAAACAAGTATTGCAAATTATTAGGTAATATTTAAGTCAATTGTAAGATAGCAACTTTAGAAATATTGTGTATTTTGTTTGCCAGGTAAGTGTGATAATTCTCAATATTGCTTACAATTTCAAGTATGCAAAAAACGTAGCCATAAATGGAACGTATTAAATAGTGCTTATTGATCCATCAATAATCATCAAATCAAGTTTCAAACAATTACACAATGACCAATCACATTAGTGTGGCCATATTTACCTCTCAAGTACATCATTAGCCTTGAGGACTTAATAACATTGTGCTTAACTGCCTATGTGAGCTACTTCAAGAACCTTCTGCAAAGTGAAAAAAAGCACAGATAAACACAAGTAGAAAAACCTTTCAGTTTAAGATAAAAACAATGCCCTCATTACCCAGCAGTAGCCAGAATCTTTGAAACAGAGGGCCTTTGTCTCTTCACCAACTCTTCCCACCACATTGAAACTGCAGGATAAGGCACATGTAGACAATTAGTACACACGGCTACCCTGAAAATGGTGCCTGACTACTGAGAATGGAGAAGAACTCCACGGAAAGTGAATGCATGGTATGTTGACCCCTGTGGTTTGAATAAAGAGCTATTGTTAGTAGTCCCAGAGGGGAATAATAATAAATTAAAAAATAAAGCGCAACAACATAAAGAACAGCGAAATTGTGAGGTAAGTTTTACAAAGCATTTCAGTAAAACAATTCTTCTACTAAATGTCTTTTCACGTTCATATCTCTATTGCGCATTTGCATACTATATGAAAGATTTGATAAGAAGGGTGCAATTTTAAAGTAGTTTTAAATTTGTCACTTTTATTTTAAGTGGTTGTAGATTTTGCATGGCTAGCTGCTCAACAAGACCAATCAGTTATTTCTTTCCACTTGGAGCCCAAACTCTCAACAATGATTGAGGGAAGAATAGAAGCTAAATTAGGAGACACATGGAAAAAAAAAACTTATAATAAACAACTAAAGAAAATAGTTCTATGAAGACAGGAAGTTGCCAAAATTATCATCATGATTTCTCGTCGTCACCAAGACAAAAAGCTCAATTTAATAATTCCCCCTGAAAAAATCTGTAAAGCTGTACAAAGAATCATTCGTAATTTACTTTCAAGTCCTTTTAGAGAGAGGAGCAGATTCGGTTTTCCTTCTACACAGGATGACAACAGCTGTGAGTGGCTGTTTGCTTTTGTCTTTTTGTGTTTTTGATGTAAGCCTTCCTTCATGCAACACAGACATTGTCAGAAGAACTGAATCACTTGAAACTGCCACAGCAGGCAAACACTAACGATTGTAGCTTTGCCAGAAAAAATACACAGAGACAGCCAGGACACCAAACAGAATAAACATTCTAATTCACAAGCACATCAAGGGATAAGAATGATCTAAATCATTATGTTAGATGCCATTTCAGAGATGGGACCATTTGAAGTAGCCTCTAATTGGTGAGTACCGCAAAATAAAAATTATTTTTAACTCTGAGAATGGAGAAATCTGCTTGTAACTTGTGATGCGAATGTGGTTTAAATACATAACATTTCAAGCAAATTTAAATCAGTCATGCTCAGAACGTAAAATACCTCTGATACTTGGTAGAGAAGCTCGCTGATAGGAACAACATTGGTTTTCACAACTTTTCAGCAAGAGGTTATTATCAGCAGATTGAAATTGATGAGAACCTGCTGCCCATCCATTTCAATCAGAATTAAATTGCTATCGAAAGCCACTAGTGATTGTCATAGTTCATCAGGTAAGTTTTGCGAGACAGTAGCAACATGGTGAAGCTGTCACCACAGTAAAAATCTTTGTTTCTTGAAACACATTCTAGAGCAGTAGACAACATATTGAATTAAAACACTGACCTCCCAGCCTTTGAGGTTTAATTGCAGTTCACATAGAAGATGGGATTGGGAACATTACACAATATGCAATTGTGTGTGCACTTTTTTAAAATTAATTTTGATTGTTAAGACCATATACAATGGGAAAGCACTGCATGACAGGGAAGAAGCAATTGAAGTAACAACACATTATTTTTGTGCATAGCATTTGAGGGAGGAGTCCATCTACATGTTCAGAATGGCAGAACACCAACTGTTTCTGAATTATCTGAGTTCTGAAGCCACTGAGCGTAAATATCATCTTTTTGGTGCCGCCTCCAGTGATGCTACAAAAGTCTTGCATTGTTTTGCAGCATTACTTCCAGCATAGACAAACAGCAGTCTGTCCCAGTCTGGCATCACCAAAGTGCACTAAAACACTGTGAAAGTGTGCTTCCCTCACACAAGCAACTGACTGATGCAATGCCAGGACATCTAATTTGGATCAGTCGGTCCAGTAAGTGAATTTGCAATTCCCTCTTTAAGCAAAAAAACACTGAGCAGTAAGATAGCCTGACAGTGGCCATTCTTAAAGGCCCACTTAAACTGAGGGTAGATTATTTTAAGAATGTCCACAATTTCAGAGTGCATGGAAGTACTCTGCTCTTTTCTTGGATGTGTTGTGGTGAGTTTCTGGATTTGTCACAGAATGTTGCTGCAGTGAGAGCATTAGATGATCTGTTCATGTAAAGACTAAAATGGGTATGGGGTCAGCAGACCCTCTGTGTGTGCAGAATGACAGAAAAGGCTGGGTACAGAGCAAATCCAGCCTTCTGCCAACTCCTCTATGCTCTTTGACAGCGAGTAATGATTCAATGGGGTAACCTGCTAGAAATCATACCTACTATTCCCAGAGCCATCACAAAAATTAAAACTTTTAAAAGAAAACAGCAGAATCACAATTTAGTATAGGTGATTAGATGCTAGCAACAGATAAACAATTAAAATACATTTAAGTAAACTCCACAAATAAAAATTCTAAACTCCTCATAAATTTCCTCTGGCATACACACACAAACGTAAACAGAGGGGTAAGCAAAAACAAGGGTGGAGGAAAAACTGGAAAAACAGCTCCAATGTCTGTTCACAAGATTTGTCCAGTTGGTTCTTGCTGCTCCAAGGGTTTCTCCTTGACTTCCTTTTTTCTGAATGCTTGCACTGGTTTCCAAGAGTCACAGACTGGATGATTAATTTTTGAAAGGTCTCTGATTTGTCCAATTCAAAGTCATAATGTGCAGCATGTGCTGAAGAACATAGTTTTCATTTGGTTTGAAGTGGTTTACCGCAGAGAACTGTTAGAGATTTTTGGCAACTTAGAGCTGCTGATTTCTCTTCTGGTCTAACTAGATTCTCACTATCTTGTTCAGACCCAAGCTGTTCAGCAATCTGATAACTAATCACAGTTGTTGGCGGACAAAGAGCCTTCACTTTCTCCTTGGTAAAACTTGTCCTTGTCAAACAATATGTCCCAGGTAAGTTATTCTTCCTATTCCAAATTCTTAGCTAAACGTATACTAAACCAGCCAACTATAATTACTTAAACTGATCTTCAACTCGTTTTAGAGATAGTAAGAACTGCCGATGCTGGAGTCAGAGATCACACGGTGTGGAGCTAGAGGAACACAGCAGGCCAGGCAGCATCAGAGGAGCAGGAAAGCTGATGTTTTGGGTTGGGACCCTTCTTTAGAAAATTTCTGGTGCCTGGCCTGCTGTGTTCCTCCAGCTCCACACTGTGCTACCTCCAACTTGTTTTACGTGCTCTTCCAATGTATTACTATATACTATATCATCATTCACATAAACTACACAGTTATTAACTCGAGCTACAATTTGACTCATAAGCATTGGGAATGTAGCAGGGACAGTCTTTGCAGCAGTTTGGTGGGTGATGATGGTCTTGTGGTATTATCACTGGATAGTTAATCTAGACAACCAGTTAATGTTCTGGAGACCTGGGTTCAAATCCCACAATGGCGGAATTTGGATTCAATAGTAATCGGGAATTAAGAGTCTATTGATGACAATGAAATGGTTGTTGATTGTCAGAAAAACCTATGTGCTTAATGTTTTTTAGGAAGGAAACTGCTGACCTACATGTGACTTTAGACCTATGATACTGTGGTTGACATTTAACTGCCTTCTGGGCAAGTAGGGATAGCCAATAAATGCCGGCCTAATCAGGGACACCTACATCCTGTGAATGAATTTTTAAAAGTATAGCATAAGAACATAAATACTAGGAGCAGGAGTAGGCCATCTGGCCCCTCGAGCCTGCCCCGCCATTTAATAAGATCATGGCTGATCTTTTTGAGACTCAGCTCCACTTACCCGCCCACTTACCATAATCCTTAATTCCTTTACTGTTCAAAAATTTATCTAGCCTTGCCTTAAAAACATTCAGCGAGGGAGCTTCAACCCCTTCATTGGGCAGGGAATTCCACAGATTCACAACCCTTTGGGTGAAGAAGTTCCTCCTGACCTCAGTCCTACATCTGCTTCCCTTTATTTTGAGGCGATGCCCTCTAGTCCTAGTTTCACCTGCTAGCGGAAACAACCTCCCTGTCTCCACCTTATCTATTCCCTTCATAATCTTATATGTTTCTATAAGATCTCCCCTCATTCTTTTGAATTCCAATGAGTATAATCCCAGTCTACTCAGTCTCTCCTCATATTCCAACCCTCTCAACTCTGGAATCAACCGAGCGAATCTCCTCTGCACCCCCTCCAGTGCTAGTATATCTCTTCTCAAGTAAGGAGACCAAAACTGCACACAGTACTCCAGGTATGGCCTCACCAGGACCCTATACAGCTGCAGCATAGCCTCCCTGTTTTTAAACTCCATCTCTCTCGCAATGGCAGACAAAATTCCATTTGCCTTTTTAATTACCTGCTGCACCTGCAATCCTACTTTTAGGGATTCATGCAGAAGGACACCCAAGTCCCTCTGCACAGCAGCGTGCTGCAATTTTTTACCATTTAAAACATAGTCCATTTTGCTGTTATTCCTACCAAAATGGATGGCCTCACACTTATCAACATTGTACTCCATCTGCCAGACCTTTGCCCACTCACTTAGACTATCTATATCCCTCTGCAGACTTTCAGTGTCTTCTGCACACTTTGCTCTACCACTCACCTTAGTGTCATCTGCAAATTTTGACATACCACACTTAGTCCCCAACTCCAAACCATCTATGTAAATTGTAAACAATTGCAGTCCCAACACTGATCCCTGAGGCACACCACTAGCCACTGACCGCCAACCAGAAAAATACCCATTTACCCCTACTCTTTACTTTCTACTGGTCAACCAATCCTCTATCCATGCTAATACGTTACCTGTAATACCGTCAACTTTATCTTATGTAGCAGCCTTTGGTGTGGCACCTTGTCAAATGCCTTCTGGAAATCCAGATACACCACATCCACAGGTTCCCCATTGTCCACCATGCAAGTAATGTCCTCAAAGAATTCCACCAAATTAGTTAAACATGACCTACCCTTCATGAACCCATGCTGGGTGTTCCCAATGGGACAATTTATATCCAGATGTCTTGCTATTTCTTCCTTAATGATAGATAAACCAGATACACTTACTATTGGATAATGGTCAATACACTCTGCCCTAAACTATGCCGATAAGAACATAGGTGAACAGTCTGAACATTTCAGTCTTCTGTGTGTTCTTGCTGACTAAAAGGATTAAAAATCTGAGGAATGATTCCTCTATTTTATCATGTGTAGTAAAATTGCAAGACCTTCTCAGGGAGTTGTATTCGTGTGTGATGCTTACAGCCTCAAGATACCAGAAAGTTTCTATTGCTTCATTCTGAACTGGATTTAAACTCAGGTCTGGAACATTGAAACACAGTTTGCTAACCCGCTAGACCAGACAGTTGCTTGCAATTGTTATCATAACATTGTGACATTAGTGACTTTTGAAGACACATTGGGCGAGATTTTCTGAGGAGTGGCAATCTGTTTGAAATTGTTTACAACAAGAAAAGAGCTCTGCATTTCTGAGACGAAATTGCAATCCGTTCCCTCAGAAATGTAGAATCGTCCCTCCATTTCGTCAGTTCTTTCATAGGGAAAGGTAATCCATGCCCCCGTTTCACAGCAGTTAGCTGCCGTATTCTGATAAACTGTCAAGCTGTAAGTACTTAAAGCAAATGTGATGTTAGAGTGCTGGGAGGGTAAGGTGTCAAATGGATAGGGGAAATAGAGTGCTAGGTTAGTTGGGTGTCAGCTGGGGAAATTGTGCCATTAGTAGGATACCAGATCAGTAGATGGTAGCGTGGCAGGTATGTAGGATGCCAGCTAGGTAGGATGCCAAGTGGGAAAGATGTAAGGTGCAAGGGTACAAGGTGGCTGGTCAGTGGTGGTGCTGTGTTTAGAGAGGTGGTGAGTGTGGTTGTGGTTCAGCTCTGGTGGGGGCTGGAGGGGTTCAGATATGAGTCTCAGGGGTGTCAATGGGGGCTGCAGGTCTGGTCAATGTGTGATTGCCAGGGTTGGGTGTGAGCCTAGTATGGGGTTAGTTGAATAGTTACTGAGGAATTAGACTATGGGCAGAATGCAAGATGAGTAGCAGAATTAGGTGAGATGTTCAGCAAGGCCAATCTCGACATCGAGACCATCTCAGCACATTTGTTTTGCTTTTCTCAAGTGACGTGGAGAGATTCTGTCTAGGCAGCAATAAATTCCCAACTGACATCCATTACAGCTCATTTAACACCTTATTAACTGCCCAACCTGCCACAGTTACGATCTTTCCAAACTCACATTACAAACCATCCATCAGGTAAACTCGATTCAGGAAGGGTTCAACTCACCACATGCTCCAGGAGATGCATGTTGGCCAAAAACAGACTGAAGATCAAGGCAAATTCACCAGCACCAGCCACACATACCCTTAAACCACCGACACTGGCACTCCATCTTCAAGAAGTGGTCACCACCATACTGGCATCCTCCAATGCAGTGGCACAGTGCTCTGAAGGGCAGACTGGTCTTGGATGGCACACTGGCAACCAGAAGTGCACGGCTGCATTGGGAGCAGGTACTGCACAAGGAAAGGAACCTATTAAGCAGCATGGAGCAGGCAGCCTACCAGGGCTGCTCTCTCGATCTCTCAGTGTGCATTCACCTGGTGCCTACCAGCATACTCCCAGCATCCATGCCAAGCCTTGCCCTGCCATGACTTGCCTTGCATTGGTGATTGGCACAGTTAGAACACGAAGCAGTGGTCCTCAGTCAAAGGGCACGTGCATTTTGTCATATGTCAGAGTACCAAGTCACTCTGGCACCTGTACCATGTAGCCTTAGTGATTGTGCCAAACAGGTTGCATTTGCAGCAAGTGATACAATATTGATCTGGGTGCCCAGCATGGTTAGTCAAGGGCAGTCTCCCATGGTTACTCCCACACAAGTCCCAGGCTTCAGCCATGGCCAGGCATCCAGTTGGGGAGGAGTTGTACAGGGGGACTGTGCCTCTGTACTGAGGGAGCAGGTTATGGTCAGTCTTTTGCCTCCATTGGGGCCGGTATAGGAGGGAGGACTTTTCCAGTTGAGGACCAGTATGTCAACCAGCCAGAGTTGTGGGCAGATCAGGTTGCTTGATGGAGTGGACCACAGTCATCCCATTATCTCCATTCACAGAAATTGAGGGGGTGATGGTGAAACAGGGGAAGGGCATTTGGGGGAGGGGAGGTCAGGTAGGCAGTTTACACAGCTTAGGTGATGACCTGTGGGAGTGCAAAGCTTATAGAGTGAGCAGACTGGGCATCTAGAAAGGAGACCATGATGTTGGATGTCTTAGGGAGCATTAATGCTGAGACTGAAAATCACTCTGAGGACTACTCACTATCATTGCCAATGGTGAAACATATGGATAGCACATAATGTTGAGGAGAATGGCCGTGAAGGGACTTGCATTGGGTGGGGTAAATGAGGGAACTTGTGAAGGAGGGGTTGCATCTTCCATTGTTCACTGGGCCTTCACAGGGGAACATCATCATCCTCCAAAATGTGAAATGTTGGTCACACGGGGAGGCAGGGTACCTAGTCCCTGGCTATCCTACAGCATTGCCTGTCTCACTTGCACCTCCCTGTCACCATCACTGTTGGGGAACTCCCTGGGATACACACTTATGTGCTGATCAGGAAGCAATGACGTAGGGTGGGGGTTAGGTGTCGGAGTTTTCTGATGTCGTGTATTTGCATTGCTACCCTTGCTCCTACATGATACATTAGGCGCTCATCACAGACTCCCAACCATTGTGCCTTATTAATGGCCAAGAAGTGATGTCACAGGGCACTACAAAGTGTTTGCAGCCATATAAGTGGTGAATCACACGGGTTCATGAAATGTTATAACTATTTACATATTATTGATTGGTTAAAAATGAAATTGTTTTCTAAATAAACTGGTATGGTAAACAATCTATTTACAATCTAGGTATAACAAATTACATCCAAGTTTTGCAGCCGTTACCCACACATGACATTAGTACTTTTTTTTGTCCTACAGTCCTTCCCGCTGCACAGCTAGCCTGCTTTGTAGCTGAGATGGGCATTACAGTGGGGATTGCACTGAGGCCGCTCGTCAAGCAGTCAATTTTGAAGCTGTTAGCTTTGCAGGTAAATTTTGTCCTGGTTCCACTGAGTCATTTGATCAAAGTTGGATTCCTTCTGACTACAGTTTATGGAAACCATGATCATAACTGTGCTTCGTAAGCTGGGATAATTATCCTGTTAATGTTGTTCGTATACAACAACAATGACTTATTATAACAGAAAGATTTTTATGGATCTGAAACTGTGCATTCCTAAGACAGCAATTTGTTTAATTCTAAGTCCAAATAATTTGCTTTATTGTGTTCAGATTCTTCAGAGGTGAGGAGATTTTGTGAGCATTCCTCACCTCACTCCTTGTTAGTCTGCTGTTCAGCCCCTGCATGCTTTTTAAACTTTTGGGAGTAGCTGTGGAGGGAACAATAGGTGTTAGCAGGAAAACCAAACCGTGCAGGCGTTTGCATTTCAATAAATTTGAAGTCCATCCACCTTACTTACCTGCGTTTTGCAAACCGGAGATGCAAATCTCAAACCCATTATAATTGCTTCAGTGCATCATTATTTATAATGTAGTAGTACTGCCTTTAATCTTGAAAGGGGTGTTGTTACTGTATGGAAGACATCTTATTTTGCTGATGATTGTCAGGGCCAACATCAATAGCTAGAAAGTTCCATTATCTGGGTGCATAACCCTGTCCCCAGTAAATGGCTATGTTTTCAGCAAAACCATTTAAGATTTCTGGTATTTAATCTGCAATGGATTTTAGGAATGACACTGCTCTGTGTATTATAAAACCGTAATCTGATCGAGACTCTCAGATAACATCATGAGCCAGAGCTGAGCCTGGACTGCTTATAATCACCCTCTGAGCCTTGAATTCTTGCTGACCCCATCGGGCACCGAAGTATGATGATGACAATATGGCAAGGTTAATGATTGTGATATAATCAATGCAAGTATATTGAAAAATAATTTGCACTTGATTACTAGGGAGATTTGCTTTCCTACAACAAGGCCAGCAGTGCAAGTCCACTCAAGCATAACTTAGTTTTTCAGCTCTCTCTGGTATAAGAACATAATAAAGTCTGGGAGAAGAAAAGGACATTCTGTCCATGAGCTCACACATCCCTCAGGGGACTCATGGTGTGATTAAGGCAGCAGCGGAGCCAGGAGCTCCTGGTCATGGTGGGCCAGGCCGGGAATATCTGGTTATTGGCAAGGCAGCGGAGCTGGGGCCTCCTAGTTGTGGGGGTGAGTGTGGCAAAGAGATGGCACCTAAAATGTGGCGACTCCTATGCTGGTGGGTCGGGTGCAGATGGTGGCGAGGTGGTAGAGGTCTCACAGTCACTGGAGGGTAGGTGCCCACGTGGACTGGGTTGGAAAGACTGTTATCCTGAACTTTTTATTTCTTTATGTTTCCAATTTATTCCTAAGAGCTGTAATGCTGGATTTTTTTTATTTCTCTAAATTTTTTTGCTAAGAATTTGCTCTTAAGAATCTGTACCAAAGTACCTTTGTACCTAAGATGGCACCGTAATGTGGTGAATTGTAAACTTTTCACTGTACTCATTTGAGTACATGTGACAATAAAACTAATTCAATTCGAGTGCATTGCCATCAAGGCATTGAGCTGTGCTTTAAACAGTGCACAGATGTAAGCTATCACCATGCCTGACAGATTTTTTCCAACACACTGGCTTGGAAAGTATGGCCCTATTCCTGAATGGTGAGGCCAGAACAACCCCAGATTTGGATCACATCGGAGACAACTGCCAGCTAGTGCCAAGGGAACCAGTGGAAAGATTAGTGAGGCCAGGGTTTGGAAAGAAGATGAAGGGAGGAATAAAGCAGGGAGAGGAGCCGACACAGAAGGTCAAGAACCTTGGGGTTGTAATTGGTCACTAGGATCAAAAGCCATTTGGAGGGATTCCTGCTTCAAGGCACAAAACTCTTGAACTGAGATCTCACGTCTGTGCAGTCCATTTATTTACATGTGCAATTGTTGAAATGTTTGTTTCAGCCATGGTTCTATGTGTCATTACTTTTCCTTTACTGATATGGTGAGCAGTACATTCCCAGCCAGAAATGTGCTACTTAATTGGGTCTTCCAATCTTATTGAGTCCTAGTAATAAGGACTGTTAGTGCCTGAGAAACCATCATTGCACATCCACACTTACAGGACATCATGCTTTGAACAAAATGATTCGTCGTCCTCTATCCATTTTAAATGTACTCTACTTATTTTCATTTATGTCTTCTGATCCTAATTTTCCAATTTACTTTGAAGTAAGAATTTGGATTTATTTAATCCATCTACAGTCAGTAATTTATATACTGTATTGAAATCCTCTTTACCCTTGGGTCTTACTTAACTAAGCTGTTTAAGTTAGATACATTTAGTTATGGCTAGTTTATTATAAAGTTTTAGAATGATCTTTTTAGGGTTGCATTGTGGCTATTGCTATGTTGCCATCTGTGGCCTGGCATTTTTTAGTCTTATTTAATCTCTTTGGCCCATGCTCTGTGATCTTATTGTTTGAAGTATTTCGAAGACTTTTTTTTCATTTGTGTTCAGTAATGCTCTCTCTATTAAGGAAAACAAGTGTTTCAGCATATTTGTGACATGTGCGAATTAACTTTTACAATGTGAGGCTGCAGTAAAAATCCACTGCTATCAGCATACAAATGAAATATACTTGAAAATGTTTTCTGGCTATGTGAATATTACTGCCAACAATTATTTCACAATTCATATCATGTTTTAACTTCTAATATCTAAGTTTAGGAATTCAAGAAATAACTAAAAAAGAACATTTATTTTACCAGTGTAATTCCAACAACTTGCATTTACACATTGCCTTTCATGTTGAAAATACATACCAAGGCTTTACACAGGCCTGTGTTCAATTAGAAATGGATGCCAAGCCAAAAACAAAAGACATTAGAAAGGATGATCAAATGTTTGATTCAACACACAAACTTCAGGGCAGATCTTCAATAAATAGAGAGAGATGTGTGTTTGGATGGAAATGCAATACTGTATTAATGTCATTCCTGACATGCTGTAGTCATGTGATCTAGACCATGAATCACACTGACTGCAGTCAACCATCTTAGACAATATAAACAAGATTGTTGTCCTGTGAGCATTAAACACGTCAGGAATTGGGAAAGGCCGAGAGTTAAAGAACTATGTCGAAGCACAAGTACTAAAAGAGGAACACAGGAATATTCAGAGCTGTTGAAAGCTGCTAAAATCCACAGCGCACCACAGAAAAGATCAATACAGCAGGCCACATTTTAAAGCATTGGGTAAAACACATTCTCATTTCCCATCACTAGTCAAAATGACAGGTGATATGAAGTGAAATTGGCTGCTTTCCACTCATAATGACAAAATTTCAAAATTGCAACAGATTTAATGAACAAACCAGAGCAGCTATGAGTAGAGTAGCTACATTTTTATCACTGTTGAGGAGACACTGTTAAAGTATTTTCCATCCTAAATCTCTCTGAAGGAAAAAAAACAGAATACAGAAATTTTGAAATACTTGTATACATGCTTTGAAACTAAATTGAACCCAATAAATGAATGATATATATTCAACATTGGAGCTGAACCGGTGAAAATAAACCTATTGATAGATATGTGACTGCATTAATATGGTGTATAGAATCCTGTGAATTTGGGCACCTGAAAGATAATCTCATCAAAAATACAGTTATCTTAGGCATAAGCAATCCTGTTATAACAGTGCAACTTCTAAGAGAAGAAAAATCTGACTCTTGAATAAGTTATAAACAAGTGCAAAAGCTCTGAGCTTGTAAATTGACGGCAATAATACAGACATGAGAGAACAGACAGCTTTGTCCACAATGTAGAAAAGCAGCCCACATCTGTGTACCATTGTGATAAGCAGCTAAGATGTGTCCACTGAACTGAAACAACACCTGGAGAAGAGCAACAAGTGTCCACAGAGGAGCCAGTAGAAAGTTCAAGACCAAAGGATAAGTTGCTAATATTGTGATGGTCATCACATTAAACAAAATAAAGCATGCCCAACATCAGGAAAATATTCTTTTAACTGCAAGAAGCTAAACTACTTTGAATGGAAGCTCCAAAAAAGGCAAACAAGCCTATAAAGCCAATAGAGATTCCTACAGAGATTTTGGATGTTGATCCTGGAAAATCAAACCTTGATACCAGAGAGATGTCAAAGATTCAATCTGCAACTTCAATCAGGTGGGCAATATCAAATCTGAAGGAGAAAAGTGGTTTGTAATTACAGTCGGTTCTGCTATAATGTGACAGTTGTGTTGCTGTGCAACACTGCATTATAGAAATAATGGGGCCTATGGAAAAAGTGGGGTTAGGGGCAGACCACCAAAAGAAAGTCAATCAAAATTGCTCAAGAATCACTCAAAAGTCTAACGCAAAGCATAGTGCAATTTGAATAAATGTTTAATTTGTATCTAATAATGAAGCAAAAGTAAATCTAACACTTTATCTCAAAAAAAATCAAGATGACTTGATGGGGGAGGAGGTTGTACTGTACCTCTCTCAGAAAGCACTTCACAACAAAGCCTGCGAAATGATCACATGATGTCAGTGCAGAGACTCTTTCAGCGCTAACGTTGTATGTATTCATGACAAAGCCCATGGAACGATCATGTGATGTCGACGCATACTCCTCCCCACACTGATGGAATCATATTATAGCCAACACAAGTTTGCATTTGAGAAATAGTGTTCCCCGATTTGTCAATCGCATTACAGCCAATTCGCGTTGCCGGAACACGTGTTATAGCAGAACCAATTGTATTGCGACAAAGGCAGCAGAATGAATGAATATGAAGTGTCAGATAGACACTGGTGCTACTTGCAACATTATATGCTTCGCAGACCATATGTAAAGTTAAGGCTCTGTGACAGAATTGTGCTCACCCCAAGAAAACAAATTAGTCTGGGAGCCCAATGCAGTGACAAGACCAAAGATTGAATTTCAGGCGTTAGACATTAAGCTAAAATCACTCATGAGAAGCAAGTCAAAGCTTGGATTGGTG